TCTCTCTCTCTCTCTCTCTCTCTCTCTCTCTCTCTCTCACACACACACACACACACACACACACACACCCCAAAACAAAAACAAAGGGGGGGGTAGGAGGAGAAGGGGCGGGATGAGTGTTGTTTGGAGAGGGAGGGTGATCCGGAACGGGAAGAGAACGATGATGGGAGACTAAGGGAGAGGACCCGAGTTTGGAACCTTGCAGGCCTCCCCTTTCTTGGTTCTTTTGGCCTCACAACTTTTCTATTCTGTGTTTATGAGCCGTAACTACCGCTCTGGAGACCTGGACCACATGGTTGGTGATAAGAACTGGTTGAACTCCGGTTAAGTCCAGAGTAGTTGTCTTCGGACACTGTTTTGGGGGCGGAGATGATGGGGGGGGGGGGCGTCGTGTATGGAGAGGACCCTCTTCTAAGCTGCTTCCATTTCGTCTAACTTGCTCCTACTTCCTTTTCCATCATATCCATGCGCGGCAAAGCCTTTGTTCAATTCTCTGGAATTGAGGAAGTGATGTTTATTGTCTCCTTGCACATTTAGGCTTAAACGAAACAAAAGTGGAAACTCCAAACTTCTTTTCATGAGCAAGTCTCTGGATTGCTTGCAGAGAAAGCTTCCGGTGGCTTTATTCGTAGTTGCTATTAAGAGCTTGCCTGGGTAAACAGCTTTGTTTTTGAGAGGTTTATCCTATAGGTTAGCCAGAGCCATCTCACAGATTGTACTGCAGATCAGTACATGGCGGGGATCTCCGTAATTCCGGCGTCTGACCTTTCCTTCTTGAACAGTCTACTCCTGGGAACCAACAGGTCTCAGTGCTTGTATTTTGCTTTCATGTAGAGTGGAGTAGCTCAAGTGGGAGTCAAGTTTTAAAGTCATCCTGCGAGGCAAACTGCCATGGGATCAGAATTCTTAAAAATTCCTTAGAAGGTGCAAGGTTGTAGATGGCTATTCTGTTTCTAAGTAAATCCGGCACAGTTTTTCCTTCAGCTATAAACTTGTTACTGTTTCTCTGTTATCTGTTTCCAGATAAAGTACTTAACTTGCCTGTAGGGGTCGTGTTGCACAAATATATTTGAATGGAATAGAGCCCTTCCACGTTGTAAGGTGTACTGGGCCCTGCTGGCACTGAGAGGCACTGAGGGAGAAGGAAGACTAACCAAGGAGAACAGAATGTTTGTGATTCCCATTTTAGACTTCTTCTGGAGGGTGTTCTCGTGGATTGGAAAGCAGCAGGCAAGACTGCTGGCATTGTTCAGTATTATTATTTCTCTCTTTTTTGGCTGGCATATCCAGTAATTTATGCTAAGCTAAACGTGCATAAGGTGATTCCTTTTCTGTGTTTGAATGGCACTACATTTTGGGGTTTGCAAGCTGTTTCGCCACAGTTTTCCTAGAAAAGGGTTTGCTGTGAGAACATCTTAGGTATGTTTGCTTGTGGTCTGCACATGTGCTCTCCATTTGTCAGGTATGTATAACAGTGGTTAGCTTTTTGAAAACGGCTTAGCTTTTGAAAAAAATTTTCTTTTGGAAATGGAAGCCATGACAGTGCCTTTTAAAATCAATGTCTCTAGGGGCGCCTGGGTGGCTCAGAAAGTTAGGCGTCTGACTTCGGCTCAGGTCATGATCTCAGGTCCATGGGTTCGAGCCCCACGTCAGGACTGTGCTGACAGCTCAGAGCCTGGAATCTGCTTCAGATTCTGTGTCTCCCTCTCTCTCTGCCCCTCCCCAACTCATACTCTGTCTCTCTCCCTCTCAAAAATAAGTAAAACATTAAAAATAAAATAAAATTAATGTTTCTAAGTTTCCGTTTCTTACCCTTGGAAAAATGTAGTGAAGTTGTTGTGAGGTTTCTCCGTTGTTAACTTTGAAGCAAAACCCCACATTTTGTATCATACCAACTGTATCTGTTTTGTATTATCTCTAAAAGATGAGGACTCTTTAAAAAAAAAAACCCGGACAGTATTAACACCACAAAAAAAAAAAAAAAAAAAAACCACCCAAACAAAAACCCAAAACCAGCCATTGTTCAGACTTTTGTCTTAAAAACGTCAGTTTAATGTTCATTTATTTTTGAAAGAGACAGAGCTTGAAATGGGGGAGGAGCAGAGAGAGGGGGAGACACAGAATCCTAAGCAGGCTCCAGGCTCTGAGCTGTCAGCATAGAGCCTGATGTGGGACTTGATCTCACAAACCATGAGATTATGACCCAAGCTGAAGTCAGACGCTTGACTGACTGAGCCACCAAGGCACCCCAAAAATGTCAGTTTAAAAAAATTTTCTAACAGTTTGTTTAAAGCAGGCCCTAATTAAGGTCTATAGATTTTGATTGGTTGATACATCTGTTAAGAGTCTTTTACTTTTAGGACTTAGAATTTGTTGAAGAATGTGGGTTATTCACAGCAGTTTCTGGATTTTGCTGGTAGCCTTTCTGTGGTGTCATTTAACATGTTCCTCTGTCCTCTTTATTTCCTGTAAATTGGTCTAGAGGTTAGGTCAGATTCAAGTTAGATTTTTTTGGCAAGAGTAATTCATAGTGGTGATGTATTCTGTCAGGAGGCACATGATTCCTGGTTGTCTCTTTTTGTGGTAATTACAGACGTTGCGGTATTTTAACAACTTTAAGTATAGTTCATACTGTAAAACGTATCCATTTTAATGTAGAGTTCAGTGATTTTTACTAAATATACGGAGTTGTGCAGTCATCAGATAGTTTAGTAACATTTCTGTCACCTCAATAACATACCTCATGCCATTTACAGTGAATCCCCATTCTTATCCCACTTCTGTAGTCTACTTTCTGCCTTTATAGATTTGCCTTTTCTGGGTATTTCAGATAGATGCCATTATGATACTGTCCAGATCTTTGAATTCTTTGGGAGTTACAAAATCGTGATATTTTCTCAGTCCGTATTTCCTAGCTTTATAATTTCTATTAAACTTTCCCTCAACTCTAAAGTTACTTAGTACAATTTACATAGGAAAGACAAGATACATATTTTTTTTATTTGTTTGTTTGTTTGTTTTAAATTTAATGTTTATTTTGGAGACAGAGAGAGTGAGAGAGCAGGAGTAGAGGAAAGGCAGAGAGAGGAAGACACGGCATCTGAAGCAGGCTCCAGGCTCTGAGCTGCCAGCAGAGCCTGATGCAGGGCTCAAGCCCACAAACTGCGAGATCATGACCTGAGCTGAAGTCAGACGCTTAACCAACTGAACCACCCAGGCACCCCAACAAGATACATATTTTAAAAAATAGATTGATTTATTGGCATTCTTCAGTGGTGACCAGTGAGGTTTATTTTCTTAGGTTTAAATCCATGAGTTCCTAGTAAACTGAGAAGTTTGAATACATTGTAGTGACTATTCATAATGGTGTTTATATTATTTTTTTCTTTGACCAGAGGGAACCTCTTCCTGAGGTTTTTTTTTTTGACACAACCTTAAGAGCTTCTTAGCTGGGGAGCCTCATTCAAAGGGTTTAGTGTAAATACCTAATTGTCTTCTTTTTAGTCTTCTCTTTGCTGCTTGGGGGCCAAAGGTATATTTTTGCTTGTGTTCCTTTTGCTGCTTCACTCTTAGGGAAATGTATTCATAGTCCTACCCACTTCCCCTAAAGTAGTTTATGGTTGTGTTTGAAACGACACCAGTCTACCGCCATATTACCCTGAATGCACCTGATCTCTGAAATGACACCAAAAAGGAAGTGCATTGTTTCAGTGAGGAAAATAAGGAAGTGAAGTGGTACTGATTTAACATTGATGGGCATAGATGGCTTTGTGCCCTCTTTCAGGAGAAAATCTTAAACACAGTGTAGAATCGAATCAGAGTCCTTGTATTTTCTTAATTATGGTCATATAGTGGAATTTACTCCACACTCGGTTTGAACTTCCCCCCTTCTTGAATTTTTTTATATGTTCATTTGTAAGTCTTTAATTCATACCATTCATACCATCATACAGAACGGAAACGAGAAGAAATGGATTCTGCCTGTAACAAGTGTCCACCCATATTTGTTAGGAACATACCAGTCTACTTAATTTTCGAAGTAATTATAGTAAGTCTGTTATAATTTCAGAGAAACATCTGTTGTAGTATAGGGTACCTTGAATAAATGGAATCTTTCAGGGTTGCCAGCAAACCAACAGGTTTCCCAGAAATTTCTCAGAGAAATGATGATGTTTGAGAATGACAATTTTGTTTTGATGCAGATTCTTATTGTTGCATCTGCCTGTCAGGAAAGTAGGAAGCAAAGATTCATTTTACTGTTTCTAGGAATTTTCCTCTGAATATGTATATGTACTACTGGAGCCCACTCTTACATTGTGTTGAATATTCATGTGGTGGGGTTGCCCTATTAATTTTTTTTAAGTTTATCTGTTTATTTTGAGAAAGAGCATAAGCAGGGGAGGGACAGAGAGAGAGAGAAAAAGAGAGAGAGAGGGAGGGAGGGAGGGGGAGAGATGGAGACAGACAGACATAATATCCCAAGCAGCTCTGCAGGGTCAGCACAGAGCCTTATGTGAGGCTCCAACTTATGAACTGTGAAATCATGACCTGAGCTGATATCAGGAGTCGGACTCTTAACCAATTGAGCCACCAGGTGCCATTGGGGTTGGCTTTTTAAGTAAAGACCGTTATGATAAGCTCCTTTTGGTCTTTTTTATGATTAAGCGTCTTATTGCTATAGTAATAGCATTACTCTGAAGCTGAACCATACTGAATTTTATTTTGCAGAATACTGTTCCCTCCACCGTTTCTTAACAGAATATACACTGTAAATCATTTTTTTTTTTTCCTGTTGAATTATTTATACTTGCCATCTTCTTGGGGCGCCTTAGTGATTCAGTTGGTTAAGCGTCAGACTTCAGCTCAGGTCATGATCTCACATTTTGTGATTTTGAGCCCCACATCGAGCTCTGTGCTGACAGCTCAGAGGCTGGAGCCTGCTTCAGATTCTGTGTCTCCCTATCTCTCTGACCTTCTCCACTCATGCTCTGTCTCTGTTTCTCAAAAATAAATGTTAAAAAAAAATTATATACTTACCATCTTCTCAACTCCTAATGTTGAATTGCTTAGTTTCTTTATATTATTATGTGTTTAAAAGTAGACATTAGTAACTCCAATTCTAATTTTTATTGTGGTGGTTAAAGGTTCAATTAGCAAGTGGGGTTGTTTTTTACAAGATCTAAACTCCCTTGCTGCATGATCTAGTTGCACAGATCTAAAGAGGCACTATGTTAAGTTAATTTCCTCTAGTTATATTTGACTTTTTGATGGTGGAGAAAAGGAGTTTCCCCTTTTTTAGCAGGTGGAAGAAGGAGTCCCATGGCCATATTCACTATGTACTTGTTAAGACTTAGATGTACATTCTTTCAGGCTCTCAGAGATCTGGGTACATGTAAACTAGCTAAAGCAATTCCTTTAAAAATGTTGACATGACTTTGTCTCTGTGCAGGTGTTGTGAAAGTCACACATAAGGGAATATTTGGTCACTGGAGCGATTCTAGTCTTTAGGTAGTCTGGAAAGGGCTCAAAAACTGGTTTATGGTAGTGGTTTCACTTCTGTGCTGAAGGGCAGGCTGGGCAAAAGGTTCTTCAGGTTTGCTTGTTTCTTTCTCTCTCTCTCTTCCTCCCTCCTTCCCTCCCTCCGTCCCTCCCTCCCTCCCTCCCTCCCTTCCTTCCTTCCTCTCTTTCTTCCTCTCTTTCTTTCTCTCCCTCCCTCCCCTCTCTTATTTTTAAGTAATTGCTAAACCCAACATGAGTCTCAACCTTAAAACCCCGAGATCAAGAGTAGCATGCTCTACTGATTGAGCCAGCTAGGCATCCCAGTTTCTTCCGATTTCTTAAGTAATTTTAGTTTCTTCAGGTTAAAGAACTGTGTGTGTGTATGTGTTTGTGTCTTGACCAAGGCAGGTTTCCCCATCATAATAAATGGGGAGTAAATATAAATATAATAGTCTTATTGTTTCAGCTTATTGAACTGGTAAAGTGATTTTTTTGATACCTTTGCTTTGTTGACATCTTGCCAGTGTGTACATTTATGTGATTTCAAAATATGTTTTGAATCTAGATCAAATCAACCGTTGGCTTGCCCTCTAACAAAGTCAGTTGAAAGTGACCGCTCAAGTTTCTTCAAGATGCCTGCAGCACTTGTGGAGAACAGCCAGGTTATCTGTGAAGTCTGGGCCAGCAATCTCGAAGAAGAGATGAGGAAGATCCGAGAAATTGTGCTCAGCTACAGTTATATTGCCATGGTAAAGAGCTCAACTCTTTCTCCCTCACCTTGTGCTGTGGACTCAGGGAATACTCAGTGTGAGATTTTGAAAGAAAGACTTCCACTAAAGCCATGGCAAATTAAACTTGGTGGAAGGTTGTGAGCCTTTTTTGAAACCTCAGGGTAGCCAGTGGGTCTGAGAAGGATGTAACCTCTAGTGTCTTAGATTTTGTGTAATGTGACTCTTTGTTTACAAATGCTTAAAGCAAAAGTTGTGTTAGCCAATAGGGCACATCTGTCTCACAGATAAGATGAATTTGACAGTGTTGGAAAATAGTTTTTAAAAATTAGTTAGCAGCATTTAAATGTAAAGAGACCTCTCTTAAAGTCCAGATTTCTGGCATCTCTGGAAAACAGTGGGAAGATCTGCCGTTATAGGATCCACATTCTTTTTTTTTTTTTTTTAGAAATAGTTTGTCAAATTAGTTTCCACAAGGATCCACATTCTTGCCTGACACTGAGTAGCTGGAGAGGCAGATGTGTGTCATGGTACTATCAGAGGCCTCTTTTAGAGGAGGCTGCACCGCTAGCTTGCTCCAGTCCCCATTACTCAGAAGCATTACATCTTTAGGCTTGTATTTAAAATTCTCTGTGGTCTTGTTCCAGGCTTTTTATTCAAGGTAAGTATAGCTGTTGTTTTTTTCTGAATTACTGTTTCATTTCCCTGTATTCGTATTTTTATTCATACATTGTTCTTAACCTCGACTTTTCTTAATTGATGTATAGTTAGTTGAGGTGTTAGCCAGCACAGAGCCCAATGCTGGGCTCAAACCCGTGAACCGCAAGATCATGAACTGAGCTGAAGTTGGATGCTCAACCAACTAAGCCACCCAGGCGCCCCCTGAAGTCAATATTTTAAGATAGATTTTTGTGCCCAAGCTTGTGCTTGTCATACAAGTTTTATAAATTGAGATAAAATTTTTATTTATGAATGAGCAATTCAGCATCCACTGTTTTGTGAAACCTACTGATGACAGACTCTCTCCTTTTCTAGGACACAGAATTTCCAGGTGTTGTGGTGCGACCAATTGGTGAATTTCGTAGTTCCATAGATTACCAGTATCAGCTTTTACGGTGCAATGTTGACCTTTTAAAAATTATCCAGCTGGGCCTTACATTCACAAATGAAAAGGGAGAATATCCTTCTGGAATCAACACTTGGCAGTTCAACTTCAAATTTAACCTTACGTAAGTGAGACGCTTCTCAGTGTTATTCTTCGATCTGCTGCATTTGTGCAGACTGTGATTTCTAACTGGTTTTATTAATTTAAAGTTTTCTTTCTGTTGAAACCAGGTAAGGATTGGACACAGCAGCCAGAGAATGGAATAAGGAATCTCAGAAAGTAAAGTCCCTCTTAAAGAACACTTACAGGTCAACAGTAAAAAGACAACTCAATTAAAAGTGGGCATCAGATCTGACTAGACATTTCTCCAGAGAAGATATAGATATGGCTAATAAACCCATGCAGAGATGGTCACCATCACTAGTCATGAGGGAAATGTAAATCAAAACCACAGTGAGATACCACTTCATGCTCACTAGGTGGCTATAATGAGAAAGACAGAAGAACAAATGTTGGCCAGGGTGTAGAGGAATTAGAATCCTCATTGCTATTGGGAAAGTAAAATGGTGCAGCCTCTTTGGAAAATAGGCAGTTTCTCAAACGGTTAAACAGAGTTATCATATGTCCCAGCAATTTCACTTGTAGGCATCTACCCAGGAGAAATGAAAACACACATCCATACAAAAACTTGTATGTGAACGTTCATAACAGCATTATTTGTAAAGGCCCTAAAGTGGAAACGATCCAAATGTCTGTGAACTCATGAATGGCTACAATAAATGTGGCATATACATACAATGAATTGTTATTGGACAGTGAAAGAAAGAAGTACTAATGTATGTTGTATATTGATGTGCTTTGAAAATATTATGCTAAGGGGAAAAAGACACAAAAGACCGTGTATTGTATGATTTTATTTATATGAAATGTTCAAAATCGGCAAATCTATAAAGTCTGAACAGGTTAGTGGTTGTCTAGAGTGTAGGGGGGTGGTGACGTGATGGGGTAGTGGGGAATGATTGCATAATGGGTTTTCTTTTTGAGGTGATGAAATGGTTTATAATTGACTGTGGTGGTAGTTGCACAATTCTGTGGAAATACTCAAAACTGTTGAATTGTATACTTTAAATGAGTGAATTGTTTGCTTAGTATGTGAATTATAGCTCAATAAGGGTGTTTAAAATGAAAAAGTAAGGTCAATTCCCCAGTTAGGGGATCAGTGTTTAAATTGTAGTTCTGCCATTTTTTAGGTGGGTGGTTTCGGGTTTATTTTACCTTCTGTAATTCAGTTTCCTTACCTGTAAAATAAGATTATTATGTTTCATAATAGAAGAAATAAGATACAGAGTTGATGCTAATCAAGAGTAGGTGGAACTGAAGCCTGTTTGATTGTTTGATAGTGGGCAGATTTTGATGTTCTAAAAATGTGGTAAAAAATACGTAACATAAAATTTGCCATCCTAACCAATTTTAAGTCTGCAGTTCAGTTGTGTTAAGTGAGTTTGCATTGCTGTGAAACAGAACTCCGGAACTTCCTCATCTTGCAAATCTGACATTCTACCTACTAAACAACTCTGCTTGTTCTTTTTTTTTCTCCAGCTCTTGGTAACTACCATACTATTTTCTGTTTCTGTCAATTTGACAGATTTTAGATACCTCATATAAGTAGAATCACACAGTATTTGTCTTTTTGTGACTGGCTTATTTCACTTAACATAATATCCTTAAGGTTCATCCATGTTGTGGCATGTCAGAATTTTCTTCCTTTGTAAGACTGAATAATATTCCATTGTATGTTTAGACCACATTTTGTTTATCTGTTCATCCATTGATGGGCAGTTAGATTGTTTCCACTTCTTGACTTCTGTGAGAATTGCTGCTGTTAACATAGATGTGACCCTGCCTTTACTTTTTTTGGATATATACCCAGAAGTGGGATTGCTGGATCATTTGGTGGTTCTGTTTTTAAGTTTTTGAGGATGATGTAATCTTTTAAGGGGAAAACTTAGTAGAGACTATCATTTTGCTGATTATATGAGGTGGTTTTATGTATGAGGTGTCTTTCTTATTGGGCCACAGTTCTTGAATATTGCTTTGTTTACCTGGGCGTCAGGAGCCTTTGGTAGCCCAGGAATAATCTTTTGATTGTTCATGTGCTTTGGAGAGTTCTCTGAGGTTCAGGAATAATTTGGGGAGATGATCTGGGTTTTTCTTTTAACTGCATTTTTTTCCAGTCCATTGCCACAGCTTGTTATTTATACCTTAATGATAATTAATACACAAAGGAAAATAAAAATACCTTGGTTGTCTGTCTTAAGTTTATGTGAAAAACAAATGAAATAGTGAAATCTAGTGGAAAAAGAGTTAACGTAATGCAAGGATGGATCAGAAAATGATGTCTTTTTCCCCTACTTTTCTCTCACTACTTTTGTGATATGTGGTATTATAAATATTCCTGTGTTTAAATTGATGGATGTATCTTTGCAGTGGAATATTATGCCAGAGTTGCAAAGGATGTGTATTTATCAGCCTTGGTCTGGAAGATGGTCTGTGCTGTGTAGATGTAGAGGTGGAGGTATGGAGGTGGAGAAAATAGTCTGCAAGGCTATATAAACTGAGTTGTTAACAGTTGTATCTGTGAAGTAGCATTATAAGAACATTTTTAAGAGTATTTTAAATGTTTTTGTATTGGTTGATCCTGTTTAAACAGTGAGAAATGTGGATCTTTTGTATTTAAGAAATTTGTGGAGGCAGATCTCACTTTTCCATCTGCCACAGAGATTAGATTATCTACTTTGCATGCTTGCTGGAATACTGAAAATAAATGAATTGATCTGTTCTTAAATTATGAAAGCCTTTCAAGGATACTTGTCTGTAATTAAAAGGTGACGTTAATATTGCTGCCCACTACGCTGTTAGATTATCCACTACTAAGAGGTGAATGCCTTCTTTTTCAGAGAGGACATGTACTCCCAGGATTCCATAGATCTCCTTGCCAACTCAGGACTGCAGTTTCAGAAGCACGAAGAGGAAGGGATTGACACATTGCACTTCGCAGAGCTGCTTATGACATCAGGGGTGGTTCTCTGTGACAACGTCAAATGGCTTTCATTTCATAGGTCAGTCTCAGAGCATCTGTATTTCTCTTGTTTTGGAGCAGGGGGTTGCATTCTGACGTTATTTTTGCAGTACTGCTCGCTGTCTTCTTTTGGTCACTTACGAAGAAGTTATGAAGTTGAAATGGTAACTTGCCCATGGTTCAGTTTTTCCGAAAAGTACTGTAGAGCTCATACTGGTTTGTTTCATACAGTATTGGGTTCTATCATATGACTATCAGTGGTTACATTCCAAGTGGAAAGATGGAGGAGGGGGAGGATCAAAGCACTTGATCATCTTTCTTTTAAGTGACTGGCCTGGAATTTCCTAGGTACTCAAAAGACAGATTCCTCTTAAGAGATGTTAATTTACATTTTTCAGCACTTTAGAATCTTTGGTGAATAAAACCCACTTTTACAAACCCTTGGGCTCTCTTATATGTCTCTCATATTAGTGTGACTTGTTGGTATTTAACAGAAAGTTCAGATTACAGTAGGATAAACTGGTTTGGAACACTGAAAGTTACTCATATGAGGTTGGATCATTAAGTTTTGAAGAAATAAAGCAGTTGAACGCTAGGGGCTGGTAACTGATGCTTTTTTGTCTCTTGCCTCATTCTCTTTTGTAGTGGCTATGATTTTGGCTACATGGTAAAGTTACTTACGGATTCTCGTTTGCCAGAAGAGGAACATGAATTCTTTCATATTCTGAACCTTTTTTTCCCATCCATTTATGATGTGAAATACTTGATGAAGAGTTGCAAAAATCTTAAGGTACACAATATATATATTTTTAATTTTTAAAATATATGTTTATTTATTTTTTAATTTACACCCAAGTTAGCATATAGTGCAACATTCATTTCAGGAATAGATTCCTTAATATCCCTCACCCATTTAGCCCGTCCCCTTTCCCACAACCCCTCCAGTAACCCTGTTTGTTCTCCATATTTAAGAGTCTCTTATGTTTTGTTCCTCTCCCTGTTTTTATATTATTTTTGTTTCCCTTCCCTTATGTTCATCTGTTGGTATTTTAAAGTCATATATATTTGTCTTTCTCTGACTATTTCGCTTAGCATAATACTCTCTGGTTCCATCCATGTAGTCGCAAATGGCAAGATTTCATTCTTTTTGATTGCCAAGTAATATTCCATCATGCGTGTGCATGCGCGCGTGTGTGTGTATGACAAGTCTGCTTTTTTGTCTTTTTTTGTTGTTACTAATATTAGGAAATACACACATATTAGTATACACACACTACATACACACACATATCACATCTTTTTTATCCATTCAGCCATCAGGGGACATTTGGGCTTTTTCCCTACTTTGGCTATTGTTGATAGTGCTGCTAGAAACATTGGGGTGCATGTGCCCCTTGGGAACAGCACACCTGTACCCCTTGGATAAATACCTAGTAGTGTACTTGATGAGTCATGGGGTAGTTCTATTTTTAATGATTTGAGGAACCTCCATACTGTTTTCCAGAGTGGCTGCAGTAATGTTTGTTTACTTATGGGAGAGAGAGAGAGAGCGAGCGAGCGAGCATGAGTGGGGCAGAGTCAGAGAGAAAGGGAGACACAGAATCCAAAGCAAGTTCCCAGGCTCTGAGCTGTCAGCACAGAGCCTGATGCGGGGCTCAAACTCACAAACCATGAGATCACTACCTGAGCCAAAGCTGAACACTTAACCAACTGAGCCACCCAGGTGTGTCTATATTTTCCTAATGTTAGTAACAACAAAAAAGACAAAAAAGCAGACTTGTCATTTTGCTTTATTGCTATTTTTAGAAATTAAATTATTATTCTGCTTTCTTAAGTGTCTTCTAGGTGCCAACATTGTGCTAGAGAAGGTATATAGAGCTGATTGGCAAAGGGATTTGTGTGGTGAATGTCTTTAATCTGGGCCTGAAGGGAGCCCTCTGCTTCTCTCATCTTGAGGGAGGTGTTCTTCACTTAGGCCCACGAACCTAGTGAGAGTTGGCACTGTGAGGTGTATGTGCAGTTTGTTAGGGGTGGGGTCTGTGGTGCACCAGACTCTCAGACAGGTTCGTAATCTTGGATAGTTCAAGAACTCAACACCCTAATAAGTTGCTGACAAGAGATTTACTGTCTAGAATTGGATTGGTGTTTTACTTTTTCCTCAATCTTGTTTTATAGCAGTTATGACTTTAAAATAGGGCAGAGGTCTAACGCTATTCATTAATAGTGTATAAAAAAAGAGTTGAAAGTGAAATATTATAATATGGTGTATTGTTTGGAGGGCTGAATGGGATATTGCTGTGGTAAGGCAAATGGCCTGCTCCCACTGGTCATTACTGAAAGAATTAAATGCGAGAACAGACTTAGTTTGACTCCAGTAGACAAGTGGCAGGTTTGAAATATTGTCTTTACTTTCTTCACATCTGCAGGGAGGTCTTCAGGAAGTTGCTGATCAATTGGATTTGCAGAGAATTGGAAGGCAGCACCAGGCAGGCTCAGACTCACTGCTGACCGGAATGGCATTCTTCAGGATGAAAGAGGTAAGGTGGTGGGTTATCTTTGTGGGCCAAGATTTGTTGAAAATTTAGAGTTCTTTTGGAAGTTGACCACTTTGAAAGCAGTTGTTTTGTTTGTCATGATGTTCAGTATCTTAAATATAGTTGGGGAGGCAAAGACACATTCTGAAACAGAGGCCACTCAGCATGGTCAAGTGTAGACATGTACTGGCTGTTCTTAGCAGTTCTCACTCTTGCAGTTATTTGCTTTTCTTCTGGTTTCTCCCATAGAAACAAATTCACATTTGTTTGAACACTCACTTGTTTTATGCTTAAATTGTTAGTTATTGAATGTCTGGCAGCTAACATCATACTCAGTGGTGAAAAGCTGAAAGGTTTTCCTTTAATATCAGGAACAATACAAGCATGCCCACTCTCGCCACTTGTATTTAACATAGTATTTGAAGTCCTAGCCAGAGTAATTAGTCAAGAAAAAGAAATACAAGGAATCTAAATCAGAATGGAGGCAGTAAAACTCAATATTTTCAGATGACATGATATTTATACATAGAAAACCCTAAAGAGTCCACCAGAAAAGCTCTTAGAATTAATAAATGAATTCAGTAAAATTTCAAGATACAAAATCAATATTCAAAAATCTCTTGTGCTTCTGTACATTAGCGTACTATCAGAAAGAAATTAAGAAATAATCCCATTTATAACTGTATCAAAAAGAATCAAATACCTAGGAATAAATTTAACCAAGGAGGTAAAAGACCTATACCCTGAAAACTGTAAGACACTGAGGAAAGAAATTGAAGAAGACACAAATAAATGGAAAGATATTCAGTATTCATGGATTGGAAGAATTAATAATGTTAAAATGTCCACACAATCCAAAGCAGTCTACAGATTCAGTGCAATCTCTCAAAATTCCAATGGTATTTTTCACAGAAATAGAACAAATAATCTTAAAATTTGTGTGGAACCACAAAAGACCCAAATAGGCAAAGCAGTTTTGAAAGAAGAACAAAACTGGTGGCATCATGTTCCCCCAAGCTTCCTTTGGTAATGCCTGGAGACATTTTTGGTTGTCACAATGTGGAACAGAAGGGGAGAGGCCCTCTACTGGCCAGGGACACTGCTAAACATTCTACAGAACCACAGTATACTGGACAGCTCCTCCGTGCCCCTCAACAAGGAATTATCCTGCCCTGTAGGACCAAGGTTGAGATAACTCTGCTGAAGTGTGTGATATCCGGTGTCTCACTTGTAACAGCCCACTGTTACATTATCCTGTTTTATAAACAGGGAACCATGGCTTAAGTTCAGGTACAGAGTGTAGAGCCCAAGCTCTTAACCACTGTACTGCTTGTTAAAGAAAAGGGAGGAGATGGAGATGGCCACACTAAATAAACAGCGGCAGCGGCAGCAGCAGCATATGGAACCTGCCAGTAAAAGAACTCATGGAGAATAGAAGTCTGTTCAGAAAGGACAGCCTATATATAAAGAAAGGAGTGTGAAAAGACTATAGGAAATGTTTTGAACCTTTATGAAGTTAGTTTTTAGTCCAGTAGATTTTCAGGGCTTTAAGACAGCTGGGAGGTGCTGATGTAGTAGTGTGGAGACTTGGCTAGACTCTGGGTGTAATTCTCACCGTGGGTTCTCTGTCCTGTTCTGCAGTTGTTTTTTGAGGACAGTATTGATGATGCCAAGTACTGTGGGCGGCTCTATGGCCTAGGTACAGGAGTGGCCCAGAAGCAGAATGAGGATGTGGACTCTGCGCAGGAAAAGATGAGCATCCTGGCTATCATCAACAACATGCAGCAGTGATGGCGGCGAGGCTCTGGAGGGTGGGCCTGATCTCAGAGTGGTGCTTACGTGCTGATGGTCTGTGTACTTATCTTCTTCCCCAAGAGAAAACGCTTCTTTTGAGCAAACTACCTACCATCTGCATTGACAGAAAGACTTTTGTTGTATTGAAGACAAAAGATGTCTTTTAGGTCCAGAAGAGGGGTTTGCTCTGAATTTGTAAACAAGTCCTCCCTATTCCTCATCCCCAAGCCTCTCTCCAATTGCTTCCTGCCACCAGCATCCATGGCTCATTTGACACCTTTTTAAATATCCAGGACAAGTCCGAAACAAACTAGTAAAATATATGTAACTCTTACCAGTTGTCATTATTTTTCTTTTAAATCTGTTGCTAATCTCTGAGGATGAAGACTTCTTGATGTGATTCTCAGCTGAGCTGAGGGCTTCCAGGGAAAGTGGAACAAAATGGTGTTCTTGTGAAGTGGGTTATAGATGTCTTTTCCTGCCTTTCCTTTTTTAAATTTTTTTTATTTTGACCCTTTTCAAGGACATTTGCTTTCTTTACACTTTGTTAGTCTTTCATTATGTACGATTATGTGGAAATGAATTACTCAATGCTGAAATTTTGAAGACCAGATAATGAAAACTTTTATTAAAAACAAAATTCTTCTGAATCTGTCTACCCTTTATTCATGAGGAACTCCAGAATGGGTATTAAGTTAACCACTTACACGTCTTTAAGTCTGTGTTCCATTGTGCCACTGAGATCCGCTGTCAGGTGTTAATCATTTGAAATCACTTTAAATTTTAATATAATAAAATATCCTGGATTTGTTCTTGAAGGAAATAAGATCAGAATTTTGGATCATAAGTCTTAATATTTTCAGTAATGTGATTTCAGATGGTCATGTGTATTCTCCTGTCTTTCTGTTCTGCCTTTCCTTTCAGCAAACCTAAGAAGTTAGGGAGATAGATTATGTGAGTACCAGGAATATGAGTGTTTAAAAAGTTATAGTGGTACATGTAAACAGGGCAGTAAGGAATTTGGTTAGAGTTTTCTTGGAATAATATCCCACAACAGGGGTAGGAAGCTCAGGACTATGATTTTTTTTTTCTTAACTAGTCATTTAAAAAATACATTGCATTGTTTTTTGAATGACTACAGTATGGACAATTTAGAAAAACCAAAAACCCCTTTGAAATGGTGGAAATGAAAGCTGGTAACTCACTAGAGTGGATGAATAGTCTTGCATTTTAAAAGCTTATGAAAAACTCAATTTCAGATGATTCAAAATGTCAAGTATTATAAGCTGGTATTTAAGATGCTTGTAAATATTATTTATGTTTTTAATTTTGTAAAATAAAGATTTCTTTTTAACCAATGGCATGAAGGCTTGGTCTTTTATAGCTATTAATTACTGGTTGTAGAAGATGGTCATTTGCAGTCAGTGCCTGGAAGCATCTTGTCTGTCCCCAAACCCTTGTCTCAATTTTCCACAAGTTGGCTTGCATATAAAATGTCTCATTTTGTAGGAGGTTTTAATGACCAACTGTGTAAATGGAATTGTCTCTTCACTTCACAACCCCCTACTGATTGTCCAGTCTTAAGTGGGAAAACTAGTTTTAATTGTTTCCTGGGACCACTGCACTACATTTTGTGGATTAGCTTGTTAATTAGTGGACTTTATAGACAAATTGAGCTTCTGGTATTGTAGAGTTGGCTCTGCACTGTTTACAGCCCTTCCCATTGGCAAAACAAGGGGTTTTAAGAAGTCTGGTATAGGAGCCGAGCTAGGCTTTTGCCTGGGATGGTCACCTATAGGAAGAGAGGTATTTATCACTGTGATTTGTGGTAAAAGCAGCACAGGTGAGGGTCAGTGGTTCTTTCAAGCTCTTTGGCATGCTGGTGACTGAGCCCTTCATAGATGTCCTAAATTTAGATTCTAATAGGTAATTTATCTTTGCCACAGTTGAGGACAGACTTACATGTCAGGAGAAGTACTGAGATGAAGGGTTGAGGAACTCAGTGTTGACTGGGGGTCTGGTCAGGGGAGGGATGAAACAGTTTATTAAAGTGTTCGAAAAGGGCACAAGTCTAGTAGAACTGGCAAGAACTTCACCTTGTATACATATATGTGAGTGCATGTAGGGCTTTGTGAGTGGTTATCCTCAGAAAGGATTGGTCCTGTAGAGTAACCAAGAGAATGCTAACTATGGGTGAATTCAAGCCCCTTTATATAAACTGCCAAATGTTCTTAAATTTGTGTTCTGTTACTGCAGTAAGGTTGACTACCAATGACAAGCTTAATTGTCAGCTTGTCCTGATGTGAATGAACTCAGTTTAGAGTCTTAAGTCCAAATTATTAGTATTGTTTCAATTTCCTAATTTATTCAGTCCACAAGTTTCTATTGTGCACCTACTAGATAATAGTCACTGTAAATAGGTGCTGGGAATAAAACAGCACATGGAAGACATAATCTCTACGCTCATTGGAGCTTACAATCTGCATTGCCAGAGTACACAATTCACAAAAATAAAGTGTGAGCTGTAAAGTACAGCACGGTGATGTCCTTTAGGTTGAGGTTCAGGGATGGTCTTTGGAGAAAGGACATTTAAGTGGAGAGCTAAGAGATGGGTAAGAATGGACTAGGCAGAGGAACAACATGGAAAAACTACTGAGATGACATGAGAACTTGGTCGGTTCCAGCAGCCTAAGAGACCAGTGTGGGTGGAATCTAGAAGCAAGGAAAGGATGTGAGTGTAAGAACAGGAGGCCAAGAGGTAAAAGCTGGATCAGGCAGGGCCTTTTAAGCCCTGCAAGAAGATCTTTTTTCCAGTAACAATGGGAAACTGCTGCAATACTTTTTTAACAGAGAATTGTCAAGATTTGATTTGTAATTTAGTCACTGATGCCATGCCAAGAAGATGCTCCATCCCCAGTAACAATGCATCTTAAAGTTCAAGTAACTGTCTAAAGAACTCTGAGCATCTAAATTCTACAGTATTTGCTTTTTTTGGGTTTAGCATTTTAAAATTCTAAAGCTAGGTCTAATTCAAACAAAATCCCTGGTCAGTCAGATTTTTAAATAACCGTGTCTTAAACTTTCCTTCCTAGAATTCTTGTTGATGAATTTTATTCTTGTTGCCTACAACAATACCAGCCATAGGAAACTGAAAAATAAACTGGATACCCAAGCAGAAAAGCTTTCACAATGAATCCCAAAAGAAAATAGTTACATTACTGGGAAAGAGTGCTCCCTCCCAACCCTACTCCAGATGAACTAATTTTTATATCCCAACAACTGAGCTAGTACAGAAACATCTGTTCCTGACACTGTTCAACTATTTACTAACCAAAGAGAAGAAGAGAAGAAAAGAAGAAAAGAGGATGCTCAGTAACGTGGGGAGTGGGGCGGGGGAAGAACAAGGACTTATCATTAAACAGTATGTAGGATCCCATTATGCTGAAGTCCCATGATCCAAAAGCTGCACATGCAAAATTATGCATTTTTCTTCAAAAAGCATCTGTGGTTCTAATTCTCAAAGGGTCTAAGATCGAAAGAAGATTAAGAACCACTCTAACAGCAATTTCTTCCTGAGCTACTGTGATCACCATTAATCATTTCTTAGAACACTGAAGGGATAAGACACATCTGAGTTTCAGTTCTTTGTTCTTCTAAAGCTTTAGTAAATGATGTGTTCAAGTAAGCAATTACACGAAACAATAAAACGAAATTTTTGATCTCAAGTTCAGATGGAGGGTAGAGTCAACATGATGGGTAAAGGCCTATTTCACATTCAAAGTTAAGTCTTTGAAAGAACAGAAGGGGAGAACCCAAGTTAACAAAAACAGTAAAAAACAAAAAACAAACCAAGTCATAAAATATATCAATTCTATCTCCAACAAAAATGGCACATTTACCGTCAGGCAAAGTATTTATAAAGGTAGCTTGTGTTTAAGAATGTAACACTTTGGGTGATTAAAAAGTTTCTCCTCTTTGGGTGAAACCTGCATAAGGCTTTAGAGATGACCAACAATCAGTCACACTGCAGGTGTTCTGAATACCCACTGCTGGCTTTTCATGATCTTTTCCTCCAGTAGGAAACCACAACTGAGTCCAAAGTCTGATTCCGCTATGTCTAAGGGCAGAGTCAATTTGAACTTGACCTTCATTTGTTTGTTTGGATCACTGCAAAAACATCTAGGGATCAAAGAGAATGGTGACGGTGGTGAAGGGTGTTGTACGGGTTTTGAATTTGGCACAGTTTCCTTAAAGGTCCTCAAACGTTCACATGCAGAAGGTCTGGCAGTATCTTCTGTAAACTTTAGTGTTGCCGTATTTCTCCAGGAGCTCCTGGGCCTGCTGCCGCATGTCCTGGGCTACACTGCCAGGACACTGGGCAGCGACGTGAAGCAGGATGAGACAGCACTCCAGCACATCGGGGAAGGGCCAGAGCTGCAAGGGGACACAAGATGAACATGGAAGCATTTGCAGAGGAGCCACATATACCTGTGCAGAAGGCACCAGCAACTCAAGTTTCACCTAGTGACACTTGTCAGGCACTCCTGAACCACTTCCCTTGTAAGGCTCTTCCTCAGCTACTCTAGGGATGGATGATACCCTAAACTGGGATGGCTCAGACTGGGATAGCCTTCTCAAATGACAGAATCATCTTCTGGAGTCCTACTCAATTCACTCAAAACGTGATTCTCCTTTAATACTAGGGCCACATTCAAATACACCTATCCCTCTGTAAGCTATCAAATTTATGGTACCAATTTTAATTTTCTTTTACCTCCCAGTTACAAAACATGTTCCATTTCTCTGAAGACTGAGGTATAAAACTGCTTGTGTTGCCAATAATCCTATTCTCCCACAACAGTTAACCCAAGACAACGGGCTCCTAAATTTTTAAGCATATACACATACGTAGCAACTTTAGAAATGGATGATCTTAAAAGAATTTGGTACAGTCAATAATATAAAAAATGTTTTATTAAATGAACTGCTTTCTTACCTTAAGACTCTCAGGAAATTTAGCTATTCTCTCATTTGCCTCCGTAAGTCTTTTGGTTAATTCAGGCAGAGAAAGTGGCTGATTTTCTTCTTTACTAGTAACAGTAAAAAAAAAAAAAAAAAAAAAGTATAAGTCATATGCCTTGACCCACAAAACTTTTAACTGTTATCCTATAAATAAAATTGTTTTGTCATCTCTTTCATCTTTAATACAGAGGTTAACAGGAGGGAATTTAATGTGATGTGATGAGAAGTTTTCAAAATGAAGTATCATTCCTCACCGTTTGCCAAATCTCCACTTCTTTGATACATAGCTCTAAAGAAAATTTAGGCCCTTCAGGGGATTGTCTGCAGCCTAGTACAGAAAGCCTGGATTTCTCTGGGGAATGGTCAGACACAGTTCAGGCTCCTAACCATAGGTATACAGATGCACATTCTTCTGGGAAGAGTGTCTTAAGCTTCTCAAAGGAATCCTGTGATCCAAAGATTAAGAGCTGCTGAATTGGAAACATTTTTAGTGTTTTTCTTGTTATTAAAACCAAACCTAAGGCGGTCTAGAGTGTGACAGCTTACTGGAGAAGTGACTCAAAACTCTGAGTCAAGATTTCAATGACACTATTTTTACTGTAATAAATATATAAGGACTTCAAAACATCTTAGTTCTATTTTTTTTCAGTTAGTAATAATAGCTACTAGTTTATTGATGGTACTAGTTACTGTGTTTTACTTAGGCCCTGTGCTGGGGAGAAATAATCTAGGTAAAAGACACTCAGCATAACCAATCAGTAATTGTTTTTTTTGTTTTTGTTTTTGTTTTTTTTAATATTTTTATTTATTTCTAGGAGAGAGAGAGAGAGAGAGAGAGCGTGAGCAGGGGAGGGTCAGAGAGAGAGGGAGTCACAGACTGAAACAGGCTCCAGGCTCTGAGCTGGCAGTCAGCACAGAGCCTGACGCGGGGCTCGAACCCACGAACCGAACCGCGAGATCATGACCTCAGCGAAAGTCGGACGCTCAACCGACTAAGCCACCCAGGCGCCCCACCAATCAGTAATTGTTAATCACTGCAAATGCCTGTATCAGAGACCTTGTAATAATGCAGATGAGCTCTACAGTGATTGGTGATTGGCTCCTGTCATCCACCTGGCCCCTATGTTCAATGGACGTGATTAGGATGTTACATTCTGATCATTTGGGATTTTCTCAATTCAGTGTGCAGTTTTGTACACTACCCTTTTTTGTGTATTTTCTGGGATAGCACAGAACTGAAAAACTGTGGTTTTCATTAATGATGCAGTAATGCAACTCTCTATTTTACATGGTTATTTTTGGGTGGGGAATCTACTTACTGGCCAAAGGTAAGCTTTTA